CTTAACACTCCTAAGAAAGCTGCCGATAAGATCCCGGCCCCTTTAACGTCACCTCTATAAGCCCCTAAGGTTTAAGGCCCCACTAATTCCCCTAAATAGAAGGTAGCTAAGCCGAAGAAGTAGTCGAAGCCGTAGCTATAGTAACTAGCCTTAGTTAAGATTAGCTTAGCTACTAGTTACTATGCGTATAAGGGAGAGGACCTCGTTAATTTTACCGTAAGGACTAATATATAAAGTAAATAGGAGAAGGACCGAGTATACTAGGACTGCGGTCTAAAAATATCCCGTAGCCTATTATTCTATAGGCTAATCGAGATAAGGAACGTGCCGTTTAGACCGAGTAACTATAGCCGGGAGGATTAGGTCTAGTCGTTTAATAATCTCTATAAAACCGCTTTACAGGATACCGCTACTAATAGTAGTAAGTATCTTCCGCTATCGCGAGTAGTGGAGTAAGGAGGCTAGCGTTATTATAATACCGCTATTAAGTAGGAGGTAGATAAAGCTACCGCTAATTAGGAGGCTAAAAAGGCTAATAAGCCGGACTATATAGTCGGAGGAAAGACTTTACGAAAGCGTAAGTAAAGGTATATATAGAGGATTAGATAAGGGACGTCTTAAGGGTATAGCCGATAAAGATAGTAAGGGGATGGTATATACAGAGAAACTAGAACTAAGAGGATCCCTAATCAGGTATACGTGGAAGACGGGGTGATTAGAGGAACGAGGGTATACGATAGCTCTTTGCTTAGTTTACTTACTTATATCTGCTTATTTTTAGGAGTTATCTACGCTACGAGGGCGAAACGAGATAACTAGGGCCGTATTTTAACCGCGTAGATACGGCTTTGGAGTGGTTTGGTAGACGGTTATATAACTCCCTTTTTTAAGGCTACGAGATCCACCTCCTATATATATATTAAGGATAGGCGCCGGATATCCCTATCGAGGGATTATTATATAATTATTATCCTCTTTTATAATTACTTATCCTACGTTTAAGGTATCTTTCCAGTTTAACTTATATGGCCCTGATTAGAATAGTGACTACCGATCTACTTCTTCGCTAAAGGTTATAGCGGTGTTGGTTATGTTTTGGTTATATATCGTGGTTTTGCTAGACTAACCTCTTTATCTGATCTTTGTCTTAACGATCTAGTGCTACTACGTTTTCATCTGGTTATATTACTACGGATAAAGGCGAGGCTATCACTATTATTATAAGAGAGGCTACTACTATTACTATAGATGAGGTTCTAAATCTATAGCCTAATACCTAGGCTATAGACTTAAAACCTTATAACTCTAACGCTACCACTATTATTACGGGAGAGGCTACTGCTATCGCTACGGGCACCGCTATTACTACGGATACTACTATCGCTATAGGAGAAGACTATACCACCGCTATTACTACGGGTAAAGGTAATAATACCGCTATTATTACGGGCTAAGAAGACGTTACCGCTATTACTACGGGAGAGGCTACCGCTATTATTATAGATACTAATACTATTACGGATACTCCGCGGTTTACCGCTACGAGGTTCGAACCGTTTCCTACGCCTCTAATATCCCGGAAGATCCTACGCGCGCGTTCCTTATAGCGTTAGCGGTGGTTAGGGGCGTTAAGGTGGAAGGAGACGATAATAATTAACGGGTAGCCGTGGATACCCCTAAGGGGTGTATATTAGCGGTACGCCTATCTATCGTAAGTATCTATAAGACTAAGAAGGTGTAGAACGATAACGCCTAAAAGGCGTTCTTTAACGCTAGAAGGACTTATAACCCTATATACACGAGGAAGTAAGCTATTAACGACGGCGATATCGGTACTATAGATTCTACTCCCTTTAATACCTCCTAGCCGCTATTACGCCTAACCCGCGAGGATCTCCCGCCTCCGCTAAACTACTACTGCGATATACGCCTCCACCTATTACGGGAGCGGTGGTTATAGGCCGAGGGGGAATATCTTAAGAGGCACCGATAGATAGGCTACTAGTAGGAGGTGGGTAGTAATTAGGCTAATAAGTAATAAGTCCTCGCCTATAGATAGGTATATACCTATAAATTTAATAAGGAGGGTACCCTCCTTAAGTATAAGGCACGCCTCGTAGTCTAAGGGGATTAATAAAAATAGTTAGAGACTAAAGATAACTACGCCGTAACGCTAGCCTCGCGGTCGTTCTATATACTAATAGCGATTACTGCCTAATTTAATCTAGAACTAAAGTAGTTTTATACCTTTAATATATTCGTTAACGCTAGCCTTAAGGAAGAGGTGTTTATAAAGATACCGTAAGGCTACAAAGTATTAGGTAAGGTCCCACTACTACGGAAAGCCCTCTTTAGTTTAAGGGTATCGCCACTACTATAGTAAGAGGAATTTAGCGGAACGCTATAGAGGATAGACTTTATAGCCGTCCTTAATAACCCCTATATTATAACCCGCGACGGTTTAATCCTATTCTTCTACGTTAACGATATTAGACTTATATACTATAGAGACCATAAGACGGACGCTAACGACCTTAAGGCTGCCCTTAAACGGGGCTATAGGTTATTAGGAGGCGAAGAAATCTGTTAGTTCCTAGGAATTAAGGTCCTAAGAGATAGAGCTACCCGTAGGTTATAGCTATTATAATCCTCCTATATAGAGAAGATCGCGGTTAAGTACTACGTAGATATACTCTGCCGAAAACTATTAAAGGTCTTATTATTTACGGAGCCGGTAATACCTCGCGACGGCACCCGCGCGTTAATTCTCGACGTCCGCTAGTACTAGGGTATAATCGGTTCTATCCTATACGCTACTATCGTGATAAGACCCGATATCGCGTTCGCTTATTTAAAGCTTTCCTAATATAACGTTAATCCCTCCTCCGACTATCTTAAGAGGGCTTAATAAGTGCTGCTATTCCTATATTATATAAGACACTACTACCTAGAATTCGGCGGGGATAGGCTTTTCCTGATAGTAAGCGACGCGTCCTTTAAGGATAATCCAGACCGTAAGAGTTTATAAGGATATACGTTAAAGCTCTTCGGGGGAACCGTTAACTAGAAGGCGGGTAAGTAACCGATAGTCACGACGTCGTTAATAGAATCGGAACTACTCGCTCTTATAAAGGCCGCTAAAGAGACGTTATTCGTTAGCCGGATATTAAGGGACTTAGAGCTTTAGTTAGACTAATAGTAACTATAGCTATACTACGATAATTCGTAGATTATTGACCTCGTTAATGAGAACGTATAACGCCTGCGAATAAGGCTATAGCACGTCGATATTTATAACTAGTAGGTATATTAGTCAGTATAGCAGGGCCTCTTTAAGGTCACGTACGTTAATACGAAGGAGATAATCGCGGACGGTTTAATAAAGGCATTACCGGATACAGGGATTAAAAGACTATAGTAATAGCTTAATTTAACGGATTAACAGGACCGTATTAAGTAGTCTAAACGACTACACGAAGAGATTAAACGCGCTAAAGCGGCCGTAATAAAGGCCCCTAAGGGCGTAGAAGATCCGATAGATATAGATCCGATTAAGTAGATCCGGCTAATCAGGATCGAGGAACTAATTAAGATAGATTTGAATTAAACGGTTAAATAGGGCGGATTTAGATCCCCTTTACGAGGGCGTTTTCCCATAACTATTAATTTTACGATAGAAAAGTTAAGAGCGTTTAGTTTAAACCGAAGCCTTTAATTAGTTAGTTGACCTGGGAAGACCCACCTTAACTAAGGGGGTGTGTCGTATAGGCGCACGGACTATAATATGGTCTATAGGGGATCCAGGGGGGATCCACGCTATAACTAAGGGCTTCGGATATCGGGGACCTCGGGTATCAGGATATAACAGGGGCAGATACCGGAAAAGACCGGATAGGATCTAAATGACATAGTACCCATAACAGAGTCTTCACCACCCTAATTAAGGGTATAAGAGACTCTCCTAGATATAACTTACCATAATACACACACACGAGATTTCTGCTCTACTAAGTTAATCATCCAAGTGCCTATTTGACGTGCGACACCAGCACGCCACAGCGTGCAATAACAAATATTATATAAGTGCTATTTGACGTGCGACATACTCCACCACGCATAGGGATTTTATAAGGCATATCGAGAGCTAGGACTACGCCGTCCACAACCCTACTTTTTCTTTTCTCTCTTATTCAGGCGATCGTGAAGTCCCTGTAGCGCTCTGGGGCCCTGGGCATATTGCACTCTCCTTTAGATCTCGAACCCAACAATGCTTTTCTTGATCTTCTTAACCATTAATAGGATCTTTCTTCTTATCGACCGGCCAGACCAATTCGACTCAAGACATACCTAGGCTGACATAATAGCCTGCGCATAACGCTCATCAGCATCATACCCCGTATACACCTTTACCACCTATCGGCTTACCGAGAAAGCTCATCAGCCTCCTGATATCCGTAAAGATTGCGGCTCGGTTGGCGCGAACTCCTGTCGGTTGTGCATTATGCCCCCTGTCAGGGTCGCATTCGTCTACTAAAAGCATCCGCACCTGCATCTGGGATTGCTTACAGCTACTCACGGAGAACTATTTGGGATCGGTTGTCAATGAAACCTCCAGGTCTCAGGCGTGACTTGAGGCTGGTACCCGTGTACCATGGATCCGACTACAACTCTTTTCACTTTCATGCTGTGAGTTACCTCTGAGACTATTCACCGAGTTTCTCTGTGCCTAAATTATACCTCTTGCCTTTTCCCATTTGTATAGGTAGCTTACGGAGTATCATCTCCGTGTATCCGTCAACTTCCCCTTTTCTTTTCTTTGATCTGCTGTGCTGCTTCCCTACTTTTCCACTGTCCACCATGTTATTATACAGATTTCCCATTATTATACAGACTTCCCATTTCTATACACCTCCCTCCTACTGTGCATTCACAAGCCCATGCAATCAGCGGCGTTGTCCCAACTGGGACGCTCGGTCACTCTCAATGCCTTCGTCTTAATGTACAAGTGGTCGTGTGAGTAAGTGGCTGACTAGAAATACCGGACAATAGTGAAACACGGCCTGTTGTCGGATCTGTCCATCTCCTTGGATCATGGGATAATTTTTCGAAGCCTTATATTATGGTGCGGGATACTCGACGCCATCGAGGCCAATGGCGGGGATGCTACAGTTTTGAAGAAATCATATGCGACGGTGGCAGCGGTGACGGGGAGAAAAGGAATGGCGGGTTGAAGATGGGACATACCTACTATTATTATGTGAGATGCCAAACCAATACACCGCCCTTCCCTTTTGATTTGCACGTCCTGGGTGTTCTCTGACCTGAAATCAAGTACGAGATTGATGGCACTTACGAGACTCATGATCCGGCCATGCCCTCGACGACTCTTTGCCCTTATTTGCCGGGACAGACGGTCAACACTCTCGAGGTCCCGATGGAGCGCGTGTTACGGAAGCGGAGTGCTTCCCTCAGTTCCCTGCGGGATATCAATTACAAGACTTTGAATCCCCAATACAAATTTATTGCCCTTCGACCGCAAACACCCCTTACAGGCCGACGTATCCTTCGCTTAGGTTCCTCTCCGCCCTTGGAACGTCAACCGTCATCGCGATCTGGGGCCCGTTTGCCTTCATTGCGTCGTTTTCTTTCTTGGAGATCACCCACCCGATCCGGTGATCGACCCCACTGTGCTGCCTCAGTTGGCCGCTCCATATCCTCAGAGGTCTGCTCCGATGGGGCGAGAAGCGTGGCATCGTCTCAGGGGAAGCAGGACTGGAAGACCTTTCCCAAATCCCCTAAACGCATCCTCGCCCAGGAGAGGCCGGCATCTGCGAGACCCATCGACAGTATAGGACGCTCGGGTACGTGCATGCCTGGAGAACTCGCCGCCGATGACGACGACAACGGAGAGGAATATATCACCTTTGCGATGCCCGACGATGACCTCTACAGAACAAGTTTGTCGTCAGCCCGGCGGACAAGGTGTTGCACGAGCGCGAAAATGCCAACAAACACCAACAACGCCCAGTGGATTCTGACTTGCCCCAATTCATTACCGTCACATTGGCCGCCAACGCCGTGGCCTTGTACGTCCTCTCGCGCTGGCAATGGCACATCTCCACTTTCGTCATCGACCACTTCCAGCGCTGTTCCCGCAGCCGAACCTCGATCTTCCGTCGAGGGGACGCCCTCTTTCTGCGACTCTCGGGACGAGAGTGAGGACACCACGCCCAAGGACGCGGTGCTGCGATCCCACGACATGTCGCGTCCCCGACTTGGGCAATTATACTTGGACAGGAATGCCGTTGCGTTACCCGGCTACACTTCGCCTTTAGCGTCAACCGAAAGGGACTGCAAGTCTGGCCGGGGATCCTCTGCTACACCCAGTCTGGCCGACTCATCAGCGTTGACTTCCAGGCCAGATGCAGCTGTGGCACTGGGCAATGGTTGCCTCCTAGCCAGTCCGGTTGATCATGGCATCGACGACTTTGTCGACGAGATGAGCTACGTGTTCCGCATTATCCACTGACATTGCTAGCACATCGGAGGAGCCGTTATCCCACGACATTTTATTACTAACCCGTTTCGTCGCATCATGTCTCCTCAATACGTTCTTGATTGCTAATCGAGCTCGATGGCGCCCTACATCCGCGCCGACGGAGAAAGCATGAAGAGTCTTGGAGTGGAGCTGGTGATGTGGAGTTGATGATACTTGGAGTTGAACCGCTGGCTGTCACCTCGGCCTTGCTCACTTCATTAGCCCCTTACTTTCACCACTGAGGAGAGGTCCATCCACCATGTAGTTCTTGATATATTGACCGCGAGAAGGAGGGTGGTGCCACGCCCATGAGACAAGATGTGTCAGATTTGAGACCCAGTCACGCTACCTTTCAGCGCCTGGCTGCACTAAAACCACTGGCCGGTGGATGTATGAATCTTATACGAGACATCGCCGACTGTCTACTGGCATGGAGACGAACACAACCATCCAGAGAAGGTCCATAGAACTAAGGAGGTGGTCAGAATTCTAAAGTCTCAAGTCATCCAGCGAGTCAAAAATCTCGCCGACATTGATATAACACTCTAGTTAGTGAGGAAAAAAAAAGGATTTCAGTCTCATTCAATTTCATTCAATCGGTCTCACAGGGTCATTTGCGAAGCCGTATGTGTATCACTTGGCCTATCACGCCCGTCCAACGTGGCTATTTACGCTCATCGCAGGAGCCGCCTCTCCGCTAGTCGAGAACTCTCCAGGCCCCTGGAACAACAGCGGCCCGAGATACCTGGTCCGTGGGAACCCGGTCTTTTACGGCGAGAGTAGCCACAGGTCTATCCTGCGGCTCGCTGATCTCACCGACGGACACCTCTTTTTTTAATCCCTCGCTCGATACCTTTCCCATCGTGGAGCCTCCTTCGATTTTCTCTTTATTCTCGCTGCGCGCTTCTGTCCTTCCGTTTCCAGAGGCGCTATGTGTTGCCAACGTATCTTTTGTGCCCGCGTCCTGCTTCTTGTCCATCCCCGAACCACCTAAGAACCGCGCTGGCACGCCTTGGGCAGCGTAGCTACCACTCCCGACCCACGCCCCGATCAACGAGCTGAACCGGTAATCCCCTCGCCTAAGCCTTTGGATTTCACGGTACGCGTAGCTGTTGAAGTATGGCAGTCCCGTCCGTGGATCGCGGTAGCGCGCAGGATGGTTCGTAATGGCGCAGAGAGGTGCAGGAGGTGGTTTGGGGAGCTTGGACAGCTTCCGTTGTCCGAATAGGACCTGAAGCTGACTGGTCTTGTCGCGGATAAGCGTCTCGTCAAAATTTTGAAGGATAATGGCATGCCGGGTGGTTTTGGAGGGTTTCGAGGTTTTGGAGCCAACAGATGGTTCGCCTGGCGGCCCGGCTGGCGGTTTTGGTTCAGACGCAGGGGCGGTGACGGAATCAGAGGGAGGTTGAGAAGTGGGACTTCGTGAAGGATTATCTGTTGGCGGGGTGGCTTCTGGCGGAATGGGCTGGACGCTTAAGGAAGCGCTATGAGAATTGGGGACTACCGGCCTGGGGAGCGGCGGTCGTTCCTCGCTTTGTTTTATCGAGTGGGGGGAAAGGGGAGAAGGCCTTTGGATTGCGTTTGGTGGAGCAAGAACAGTAGACATCGGAGTCATAGAAGAACCCGGAAGATGAATACCGCCGGGTGGGGGAGCCAGCACTGGCGGGGCAAGAACGGGAGCTTTGAGACCTTGGGGGGGTGGCGCCAACGAGGGAGGAGTAAGAACGGGCGAACAAGTCTTTGGCGGTTGCGAAGGGAGCGGCGGTGGACCCATCACATTGAGTTGCGAATTCGGTCGCTCGAACACTGATGCCTGAGCCGTTGACGGTGAGGTGGCAGCAGGGGGTGCCATGGGTCCCGGCGCCTGCTGGGTTTCCGTGGAGGCGCTGGCGTCTTCAGGAGTCCTGATTCCCGGTTGGCCCGGCCCTGACATTGCCGACATGGAGTTCGCTGTTTTGTGGTAAGCATCCGCGTTTGCCGCAGACATGGGGCTCGGTCCAGTTATTACAGTGTCATCTGGTACAGGAGCCTTGTCGTCAGTAAGAGTCCCTGTACCCTTTTCCTCCTTGTCCTTTTTCTCTCTCTTTCTCTTCGGCTTCTCCTCGATGCTGACGGCCTTGCCGCCGTTCTCATCTCCCTCCCAGATGCCCATCCCGCTCCAAAACGTGACAACCGGGCCCTTGAGCGTACGATTGTTCAAGGCGGCGAGTTTTGCTCTTCGTTCTTCCTCCCGTGCCTTCTCGGCCTCTTCCCAGCGGTTCAGACTTTTGGCATTCCTCTTCTCCACGATCGCAGCCTCGGCCAGGCGTTGCGCTTGCGTCAAAGGTGGTTTCTTCGTAGCCTCCATTTTTTTGGCCTTGCGTTCCATCGCCTCGACCTGCTTGAGTCTTTTCGCCTCCCGTTCCATCATCTGCTGGTGTAACTGCTCTTTGCTCAGAACTGTCGTTTGGCGTGCCGACGCCCTCGTGGGCAGGTCTGTGGCTGCGGGCAACCAACTCGTCCGTTCCGACTTCTTCCTGGCGCGAGGAGCGGGTTGGCGAGAGTCCTGGGTCTTGGCAGGCTGCTTGTCGTTGATCCGGACCTTCTTCCTAAACTTTGCTGGGATGGATTCTTGCGCCTTGCGCTTCCGCTGAGCGGTACGCCGCTCCTTCGCCTGCTTCTCCAGCTCGCGCTCACCCTCAAGGTCATCGGCATCGCCGTCTTTCTCGCCTTCTGAGTCGGATGAAGAATCCATCTGCAAGTCTGAGCCTTCGTCATCAATGTCCAAAAACCCGGCGTCGTCGCCATCTTCAGCGAAAAGAAGCTCCAGGTCTGAGTCGGGTTCTTCGAGGGCGAGGACCGAATTCATGCGGTTTCCGGCGGTACAGCGTTTGGCACGCCCGGTGGCGAGCCATTCGATTGGCGTGCTGTCGCCGCGGCTGTCTTCGGTGACGGTGCTGCTCTCCGAGTCGGACGATTCGTCCTTTGTCGCCGGTATCTCCATGATCTCCTCGCTCGATGCCATTGCGCCGAAGACTCAACCGATCTCCTCGTGCATGATCCTTTTCTTCCCCCCTCCTCAGGTGATTGCGAACTGGGCCTTCTCTGAGTAATGCCGCGAGTCTTTATAGTGGTCGGAGCGCGTTCGATTTTACCGGATTTTCTCTCAGTGGTCGTTTAGTGGTTCTGTTCTTGGACGTGACGTGGGTAGGTAGGTGGCGCGATAGCCTGATATGTTGTTTTATTGCCCTTCTGCCCTTCAATGAGCTGGAAATCCTCCCTGTGACTCGCCCCACTTATCGTGGGTTCCTTCCTAAGTAGGTAGCTGATGCTGACAGATATTTCTCCACTTTTTCACTGCATTCAAAACGTATTATTCAGCGTTTTAAGGTACTTTATAAGGTACACACGAAGCTACTAGTAGTATGTGTAGAGAGTGTGACATAAAAGCGTATATTAAGTGTGTGTAAAGGAAGCTATCTAGATTCCTTGGCTAAAGCCTCGAGGAGGTTTAGCTACCTAGATACGATAACCTGATTAGTTGGCCGTGTGCACGGACTATTACCGTAACACTCCCCCGTAGGCAAAGCTCTAAAAATAACTTAAACGGCCGAAAAGCTTAAAAAACGCGTAAAAACGCAAAGAGCTTGAAAATAATATTAAAGTCCTAAGTATTATTAGTTAGACACTTTAAAGGTTATAAACTAACTCGTACTCTTTTTTAGCTTTCTATAGCAAATCGTATATAAGAATAAATGCCGATACTTCCCGACTTCTTCTAATTAACTACTATGCTAATTATTCCTCTAAGTCTATATTATATCGAAATACTCAATAAACTATCTATATAATAATCCGCTCGCGTTATTAATCTAATTCGATAGGGTGCTTAGTGGTGTAACGACGAGATAAGGTCCTCCCTCGCGATCTCGTATAACTATATCAGCCCTTTACGTTAGTAGTCGCGCGTTTTATACCTTTTTAGAGTAGCCTATTGCTCTCGCGATAGTGATAAATTAGGACTAATAGTAGATTAGGTCTATAACCTGGTCGAGTTGTTTTAGAGGCTAAAGATAGGGCTATAGTTAATTAGGGAGAGTCGGATCTACGCCCTTATTTCTGAAGGCCTTACTATCTAAGGGCCTTACTATCTAAGGGCCTTACTATCGTCGTCTTCGCCGCTACTATTATAGTCGTTATTCTTATAGTTATTATTAGGTAATAGAAATACTAATTGATTAGTTACCTATATATCTAACGTCTCTGGGTTTTTAGAGATCGTCTCTTATTAAGTTAATAGCACCTATCGGTGCTTTATCGCCTTTATAAACTATCTTCGCTATTAACGGCTTTAGACTAGCCCTTACGGCTATGCCTTAGTGATCTATAGTTATTTATCGGCCTTTTAGCTCCTTATTAGGAATAGACTATACTACCCTATCTCCGCTATATTTAGTCTCCTGGCTAAGCTAGTCCTTAACCGTTATATAGTATCTTTATAGGTATACGAGGCTTTTTCTATCGGCGATAGTGGTAGAGCTAAGTATACTATAGGAATTATATACTTTATAGACATATAAGGCCTGTTTTATAGGCTATACTATAAGAATTATTATTTATAGGAGGAGGTGTTAAAGTAATCTTTAACCGCTCCTGCGTTAGTTTATTATACCCTTAATTAGCTAGGCCTAGCTATTCTATTAATTCACGGTGCTTTTAGCGTTTAAGGGCTTTAGTAAGGCTATCTACGGTTATCTCTCTGGTACTAACGTGCTTAAGGTCGAATTAGCCTTTCTCTATCTATTAGATAGTTTATTTATATCTTATATCGATATACCGCGTTCGTACCCAGTTAAGGGTATTTAAAACTCAGCTTAAGGCTCTAGTGCTATTAGTTATTAAGAGGAGTAGCCTTTTAATTAGAGAGGTTATTTCCGCGACGAGCTTAGCAATCTATTAAAGATTAAGGGCTATAGGCACTATGTTAATAAACTTAGCTTCTATAGTGCTAAGGGCGATGAACGGTTATTTCTTAGATTTCTAAAGAAATAGTCCTTCTGCTAAGAACACGATATGCCCTCCTATTAACGTTCTACCCACTATATCTGCGTGGGTAGTATCTGCGGCTACGTATAGACCTTGTGATAGGCTGTTTCTAACATCTTTGCCGCTATATATAATGCTATACCTTATCGTGCCTTTACTATAGCGCTATAGATGCTTTAGTGCTATTTAGTATATCTCTGTTAGGCTAGAATCTGCTTCGTATAGCTTAGAAACGGCAAATATAATACTAGGCCTTATTCTATAGACGAGGTAGTTAAGGCTGCCCGTTTATTAAAGATATTCCCGCTTAGTTATCTTATTATAGTTAATATCTGCTAGGATCTTAGCTTTGAAGTTAGCTGGGATGGGTGTTAAAACTGTATTATAATCCTGTATCTTAAACCTTTCTAGGATCTTATTGGTATACTGCTATTAGTCGATCGTGATTGTTTTTATGATTCTGTCTCTTGTAATCCTAAAGCCTAAGAACTGCTTTACCTTACCTAGATCTTTAAGGGCGCACGCTCTTAATAGTGCTTCGGGAACGTATGCTATGGCTTACTTATTTAGTCTGCTACGTAGATATCGTTAACGTAGATAAGGACTATAACCTTAGTCTTTATATTAACGAGGATATACTTATTGCTATTAAGCGGCTAGGACTCAAGGTCTTTTATATACCTCGCGATATATTGAAACCACTATAATAGGGCTTCTTTTATACTGTATAAGGCCTTTCTTGGAAGGTAGACTTTATTAGGAACTATAGGAAGACCTTTTAGTTATTTAACGTATACTTTGATGCTAGGCAGTGTGTTAGCGGCGAGAAAAGCCGTATCGAAATCAAAGCTCTTGTACTCGAGATCTTCTATTATAACCACTACTAGGAAGGTTCTAAGTAAGGCTATCTATACTACTATAGCGTATAAGTCTTATACTAACTAATCAACGACTTATTAGTTCCCGTAGACTACCTATCTAGCCCTATACCTAATAAGGTTACCTTCTTTATTGTATTTATTATTATAAACCCATGTACTAGGGAGGATTCTAACATTCTTAGGTCTATTAACTAGATCCTATACCTATCCATCGTTTAGGGCCTTAAGCTATTATTCTATAGCGGGCTTATAGGTTATTATAAAGCCTGACTGCTTGTTGGCTTTATTATGGGTCTTTAGTGGTATAGCATAGTTTATTATTAGTTTTAATTAGGAGACCATATCTGCGCTAGGTATATTAAAGTAGGTAACCCGCTCCTGATCTAGGGAATCTGGCGATATTAGTTGTGTGACATTATTAATTGTCGGGTGTGGAGTTGACTTCTCCGTAGTTTGACTATCTCGGGATACTTCCTGCTACTGCTGAAAGTCTTTCTCCGTAGTCTAACTGCGTTATAAGGGTTCTTTAATAGTTATTTTAATAACGTCGATAGTTACCTTATTAGTTTAAACGTCTGCGTCGACTAGTATAGCCTCGTAGTCAGGCTCTTATTATTAAGGTGCTTTTTATAGAGCGTTCTCTATAAATTTAATATCTCTTACGCAGAGAACTCTATTAAGTTCCTATATCTAGACGCTATATATATAACCGTGGATAGAGTCGTATCTAACTAATCTACCCTTCTAGGCTCTTAGTACTATCTTATTAGCCTTAGGTGATTTAAGTTAACCTTTCTTATAAATGTAGGCTATATAGCCATAGGTTCTAAGGTATTTAATATAAGGTCTTTATTATTCTTTTAGGTAGTTTAGGACTTTAGTAAGCTTCTCGTATAGACTAAGCCCTAGCAGGACTCCCCCGTTCGAGGGCAGGAGATTTAGTATCTCCGCCGAAGTTTTAAGGGTATACGCCTAGATCTATAGTGGGAGGTGATTATTAATAATTAAGCTGCGCGTTATCTCTATAATAATAGCGCCTACTCTCTCTCCTCTACTATTTTAGGCTAGTGTGTATACTACTATAAAGAGGATCGTAATCCCTTCCTCTTTAAGATGTTTCTTAAGGTCGTCGTTATTAAATACGCCTCTATTATCGCTATAAAATCCTCTAATCTTAATACTAGTCTAGCGTTCCTATATAGCCTTAAAGGCTTTAATTTCCTTAGCTACTATAATACCTTTTTTATAGCGAAGCCACTATATATAGTAGTAGCCGGTATACTATTTAACCTAATAGATTACGTACCTGTATTCTCTATAGATAATAGGCTTAATTTTGATAAGATCTATATTAAACTCGCTAGGAGTAGTAGGGACTACTAGCTTAATTTTTAAGAGCTGTTCCTTGGTCTTAGCTAGGTAGTAGACTTTATAATAGAAAGCGTTTACTCGGGTTATATTAAATTTAATACCTTTAGCTATATAAGCCCGAATAATCTTAGCCTTACCAACGTGACCGAGCCTCTGATGCTATAGCTTAAAGTCGGCCTCATGGTGCTTCGTATTAATAGCTATATAAGCCAGCGCGTCTTCGGGATTGTAGCTTCCGTTATCTAGTTAGACTATAGCTATATCCTTGCTCTAGTTAATCTTAGTAAGGTGTTATCCTATTTTCTTTATAAATAGGACTTTCTACTCGTTATTATAACCGATCTCCTAGCTACGGAGGTATCCGGACAATAGAAGGTTTACTAGAGCTTAAGGGTAGTACTAAACCTAATCTATTTTCTAGTTATAGGTTTAATTAGTAATATAATCCTCAGTCTTAAAGAAGACTAATCCTATACTAGGTAGATAAGATCTATTACTATCTATATCCCTTATATAGCGTAGGTTATTCCTTAGCGTATAGCTATTTAACCACTTAAAGTAGTTAAACTTGCTTACCTAGTAGCCCAAGTCCTATATAATATTGTCTAAAACTACCGTTAAAGGGTAGACTACTCCTATTACTCCATAGAAGTTATAATCTTAGAGTAGGGCTTTATAGAGGGATTATTAATTAAAAGCAGAGCCGCCCGACTTTAGTGTAACATTACTAGTATCTTCGGGAGTCTTTTAGGTAGTGGCCGTAGGCTTAGAGTTATCGGTTTTATCCTCTTAGTGATGCTATATATACTTACTTATCTTCTTATACTCCTTGTTCTTTCGCTAGAAGGCCTTCCTCCTATATTATAGAGCCTTGTTCGGGTAGACGATAAAGCACTGGCTCTTTAGGTGCCTGCCGCTATATACCTTATACTTAGGAGGGTCCTAGCTCTTTTCGGATACGGACTAGGTCTTAATTATAGTATTATTAGATATCTTAAAATCTTTAGCCCTGGCTTTTATATAGAG